AGACTGATTCCCCACTGTTGGTTCAACCCCAAAACTGTTTGTATTCAAAATTAATTATGACAATGCATATTCATATTGAAATAAACTATGATAAAGGGAATTATATTATATAACAAAGGGCAAGGTCACCAGAGTTCAACTATGTTTTGAAAATGTTGTATTTTGGACATGCTTTGTCAGTTGTCATTCAAACTTGGTACATAGATTATACATGTTAGGATACATGTCCATGACGATTTATTACGCAATTGGATCAAAGATGGTCGACTGGCAGGCATCTTGTTTTGTTTTTTTATGCGGTATCTTGGACATGCTCTGTCAGTTTTCATTCAAATTTGGCACATACATGTACTTTATACATGTTAGGATGCATGTACATGACAATTTGTTTCAAAATATGGTCAAGGATGGCCGATTGACAGCCATCTGACTTTTTGGCCTTACTACTATATTTCCACAATTTGTGTACCATTTCAACACGTGTTTTGATGTAAATAAACAATCTGTTGTATACGCCACTTGGAACTCAAGTTTCAAGGACACGCTTGCGACAACCCCTCCGCTTTAATATGACAAGCACAAGAGAACTTTCAAAAATTTAACAGGGACTGTGTCATTTTCAATGACTTGTTTGTTTTAGCGTTTAAAAAACTAATTTGAGCAGGGCCTTACCAAAATTGTGATCTTTTGAAAAGCTGGGATGATGCTTCAAGGTCTAAAGTAACAGTTTTATTGATTTTTGAAACATCAAGAAATAATTTTCTTTTCTGCTACCTAAAAAATGTACACCAGCCAATAATACCCAGATTTTTGACAACTTGGTGTCTTTGTGTGAGTTGTTTATATGTGAATGTAGGAAATGTTGGGGACCACTTCAAGCACCAGACTAAGCATTTTGCAAAATAGTGTGTACTTGTTTCTCATAAGTGCCTTAATGTAGCATGTACATGTATGGCTAAAGCTTTTTGCAAGAAAAATAAAATGTTGTTCAGTCACAGGGTTGGCCGCCATTTTCTCATGAATGCTCCAAACAATCAACTTGATATTCTATTATAGCATGTATTGCCAAAACTAATAATATAATTTTGATCAGTCGCATGTTTTGGTGTCTTCTTAGATTTCTCCAAAAATTTTGTTTCATAGGAGTGTGTTAAGGTAGAAGCCTCCCGGTAAAATCATGGAGCTTTTGTCTTGTGGCACCATGTAATAGCATTCTTTTGTATGTAACAGTGATGTATTTTGGGAAACTTGTCCCAATATTTTTCAAAAATCACTATTTTTAGAATTCCATAGAACACAATGTTAAAGAAAAAATGAATTATTGGCCTTTTTCAAAACCCAGATTTTAAAAATAATTCAGAACAACAAAATGTACCCCATCATTTACATTATATGATTTTTTTTTTAGCACCCGCCAACCGCGTACAATTTGAGATTTTGTTCCATATCTGTAATGAGAATCAGTGGTAAAAGTGTTAAAATACTGACAAAATGGTCACTGTCCACTAAAATACATCCATCATTTTCTCAAAAATTAGGCAGGTGACCCCCTACTGTTTGTCAAGGAGTACAATTTATTGAAAAATGAATACATTCTGGGTGTTTTCATTTATGAGTAGGCTTCTACCTTAACTAATACACTTGATATTTTGCATTATGATACACGATAACAACTTATCGACGAAATGTCAAATACGAAGTCATCTTGAGAGGTTAAGCCTTTCTCTGGCAGCCCCTCGCTGATACTTGAATGTGTCATTTTCCTATAATAGTGTGCATTGTGTGTCATAATTTTCTATGGTTCCCATCACATAATCGATCTCAACGAAATGGTGACTACTTCAACCCTAGTTTTCACATCGCATTGTTGTTGAATCTAAAATAATGCTGTTGCTATGGATAACTAAGATTGTCACATTGTTGCTATGAATAACTATGATAGTCATGGCATTAATGTTAGTAACTCTAATAATCATGTTGTTGTCATGGATAACTGTGCTAGTCATCGCATTACTACTGGTAGCTTTTAATAATCACGTTGTTGCTATGAATAATTATGATAGCCATGGCATTACTGTTAACTCTAATAATGACGTTGCTGCTATGAATACTATTAGCTATGATAGTCAGGTTGTTGCTATGAATAAATATGATAGTCACGTTATTGCTATGGATAACTATGATTGTCACGTTGTTGTCATGGGTAACTATGATTGTCATGGCATTACTGGTAACTAATAACGTTGCTGCTATGGATAACTATAATAGTCACATTGTTGCTATGGATAAATATGATAGTCACGCTGTTGCTATGGATAACTATGACAGTGTTATATTAACAATAGTCACGTTGTTTCTATGGATAACTATGATTGTCATGGCATTACTGTTAACTAATAATCACATTGCTGCTATGAATACTAGTAACTAAGATAGGTTGTTGCTATGGATAACTATGACAGTGTTGTGATAACAATAGTCACGTTCTTGCTATGGATAACTATGATTGTCATGTTGTTGTCGTGGGTAACTATGATTGTCATGGCATTACTGTTAACCCTAATAATCGTGTTGCTGCTATGAATACTACCCCGGTAGTAACTACAATAGTCACGTTGTTGCTATGGATAACTATTATAGTCACATTGTTGCTATGGATAAATATGATAGTCTTGTTGTTGTCATGGCTAACAATGTTTGTCATGGCATTACTGTTAGTAACTCTAATAATCAGGTTAATGCTATGGATGACTAATAATCATGCTGTTGCTATGGATAACCATGATAGTCTCATTGTTGTAATGGGTAACTAAGATTGACATAACATATACTGTTGGTAACTATGTCACGTTGTTGTTATGGAAAACTATGATAATTGTGGCATTACTGTAAGTAACTATGGTTGTTGTATCGAACGTTTTACGCGCTTCTTTTTGCCAAAACACCGTAAAAACCACAGAACCATAAAAATCACAAAGCTCCATATGGTCAAAAATCACAAAGCTCCATATAGTCAAAAATCACAAAGCTCCATATAGTCAAAAATCACAATACTCCATATAGTCAAAAATCACAAAGCTCCATATGGTCAAAAATCACAAAGCTCCATATGGTCAAAAATCACAAAGCTCCATATGGTCAAAAATCACAAAGCTCCATATAGTCAAAAATCACAAAGTTCCATATAGTCAAAAATCACAAAGCTCCATATAGTCAAAAATCACAAAGCTCCATATAGTCAAAAATCACAAAGTTCCATATAGTCAAAAATCACAAAGCTCCATATGGTCAAAAGTAACAATACTCATATAGTCAAAAATCACAATACTCCATATAGTCAAAAATCACAAAGCTCCATATAGTCAAAAATCACAAAGCTCCATATAGTCAAAAATCACAAAGCTCCATATAGTCAAAAATCACAAAGCTCCATATAGTCAAAAATCACAATACTCCATATAGTCAAAAATCACAATACTCCATATGGTCAAAAATCACAAAGCTCC